GTAAGTGCCAGGGTCTGACCAGGAAAAAAGAAGCCACTTCCAAGCAGGGTTCATGGAGCCATAAGTAGAGATAACACCAGTGATCTAATGCTGCTCAGAGAAGCCCAAGGTGAAAGGCTCAGGGGAGAAAACACTCTGGGAAGTTTGTTTTCATTAAGCTTTGACAGAGCCCTCCACAACCATGTGCCCCTGGAGACCTTGAATGAGATGCCTGGAGAACCTGAGTCGCAGCCCCAGCTCTGCTCCTATCTCCCACAATGACTTTGAACAAGTCACTTAGCTCCTCTGAGCCTTAATTTCCACATCATTAAACAGAGGGGTTGGATTAATGATCTAGTGGGCGCCTTCCAACATTCCATGTCTCTCTAATGTGACCATACTCTGTATAAGTCTGATGGTTGAGTTATGCTACAGGAGCAAAAATCCCAACTTCTCAATATTTATCATAACTTAGATTATTATTGCTTCTTGCAAAGCCAGCTGCATGTTTGGGTAACTCTCCAGAACAATTCCACACAGTAACTCACTATTTCAGGCTGAGACGGGCTGTGTCTATTATTTATACCACCTTTAACATACGATCTCATTGGTGACATGCAGGTAGGGAGGGTGACTAGAGAGAGACTCATACACAGGCTTTTCATTGATTCAGCTTACATGTTACATACATCACTTCCACTCAGTTTCCAACAACGACAATGAGTCCTATCCCTGCCTGACCCCTGGTGGTATGGAAGGACAGACAGGAGAAGGGGTTGAGCAGTGGAAATGTCCATGTTTTCAGAAGGGGAGAAATACTGGAGATTGGTGAATATTAGAAATGTCTACACACAGCTGCCTTTCAATGACAAAGACCTTTTCTTTTCTTTTTCCAGCTGCTTCATAAACAGTTCTGACAATGTTTTGAGGTCCATAGAAAAGCTCTTCATAACTCAATTTTATCAGTGAGAAAACATGCCCAGAAATATTGAGCAACATATGCAATGTCACAGACCTGCCGAATGTCTGGGATGGGTCTAGATTCCATGGCTTTGGCTCTCTGCTTCTTCAAGATGTAAAGAGATTCTAATATTAAGATCTTATATCAGAAGACCTGCACTGAAATCCTGACCAGTCTTTTCATGACAACCTTCTCTTTGAGTCTCAATTTTCATATCCTACATTTACGATATTAGAGTTTCCTTGGAGAATTAAATAAGATTACCAAAGGGAAAGGGCCTATCACAGAGTAAAGCAAATATTAGGTAAACTATACATTTCGTTCAACTAACCACTTCATGGTGTCTTCAACTGTTCAAAGACCACATATTCTTAAGTTCTTTTAGAGCCAGAGGACCCTGTACACAGAAATACTTCACTAATATTATAAATTAACCAGATATAGAGTTATTTTTATTGAAATTTATCCATTTGAAGACTAGGACCTATTTGGAGTTGGGGAGGTATTATATTTTTCCCAGCACCTATAAGTACCTAGAAGAAGGTAGAAGCTCAAAGCATGGAGTCGTGCCTGTCCGGCATGGTTCAGGGTTGAGCGTTGACCTATGAACCAGGAAGTCACGGGGTTCAATTCTTGGTCAGGGCACATGCCCGGGTTGCCAGCTCAATCCCTAGTGTGGGGCATGCAGGAGGCAGCTTATAATGATACTGTCTCATCATTGATGTTCCTATCTCTCTCTCCCTCTCCCTTCCTCTCTGAAACATATATATATATATATATATATATATATATATATATATATATATATATATGCATGGGGTTGTAAAGATTGGATGTAGTATGTGCTTAGAGTGCCTAATAAGTATTATGCATTGTGGTTATTATTATTTTTGTTCCTTTTGCATAGGAGAAAGAAGTGAGAGGGGAAACAAGTAAGGGACATTGGGAAGAGAATGCTGTGGGTTGATATTTATGTCCCCCCAAATTCATATGTTGAAATCTATTCCCAGTGTGATGGTATTTGAAGATGGACCTTTGGAAGGTAATTAGGTTATGAAGGTGACGTCCTCATGAGTAGGATTAGTGCCCTTATAAAAAGAAACCACAGAGCTAGTTTGCTCTCTTTCTGCCAGGTGAGAACACAATGAGAAGACAGGCGTCTACAGACTGGAAGTGGGTCCTCACCAGAATCCAGCCATGCTGGAACCCTGGCCTTGGACTTACAGCTTCTATAACTGTGAGAAATAAATTTATGTTTATAAGCCACCCAGTATACAGTACTCTATTATAGCAACCAGAGCCAAGACAAGAGAGAACATGACATGCACCATCTTTGAACAGGGGTAGAAAATCATTCAGGACAGAAAGAGTATAGTTGCTGATGTGAAGAATTCTTTTATAGTGTTTCTTCTTGTTGTTGTTAATCCTTGCCCAATGATATTTTTCCACTGATTTTTAGAGAGCGGGGAAAGGAGGGGGAAAGACAAAGAGAGAAACATCAATGTGAGAGAGACACATCGATTGGTTGCCTCCTGCATATGCCCTGACCATAGCCAGGGACCTGAAACCCAAATACATGCCCTTGACCAGGAATAGAACCTGGGACCCTTCAGTCCACAGGCTTACCTATCCACTGAGCCAAACCAGCTAAGGCCTTTTATAGTGTTTCTTAGCAACAAAGGAAAGGTAAGAAAATAAATTCCTAGAGCAGAGAGAACAAAAGCTCAGCCCTGTATTGCATGGGGCAGGAAGGTGCAAGGAGAAGAAAGAAGGGGTTGTCCAGGACAAAAGGAGAGCAGTGTACTTCCTGGGTAACCTCCTCCATGTCATGGGTGGAGGTGGCTGTGGGCTCAAAGCTCATTGCCTGAGTCAAGAAACAAATCCCAACTTCAAGTCTTTCTAATCCAATGCTGTGAGGCCATGGGCTCCTTCAAACAAGTGACCTTGGCTGGTTATCGCCATAGTAACAGCTCACATCCCAAACTGTTCCTTCCTGTGTGGACAGAAACACTTCAGAAACAGGAAGAAGCAGACATGAACAGTGGTTTCTTTTTCTTATGACCCTTCTCCTTTGGCAAATCATGTCCTTTCCCTAAACATCACAGTCTCCTGAGGAAACCGTTCACAGAAAAAGAGGTTTCAGTGACTTTATTTGCAGACAGGTGCCCAGGACACATTTTACAAAGTAAAAGCATGAAGCTGCTTTTCTTTTAGGTTCAAGCAGAGCTCAATATCTCTCAATGTTTCACCATTCTTCTAATTAACAGGTCCCAGGAAAGGAAGCCCAGCATGTCCTCTCATTGTGAGCTACAGAGCAACACAATAGCAGTTAGTCTAGAAAGCTAGAAGAGCAGGACTGAGCCTCCACTAAACCCCCTTTACACCTTTCCCAAGGTCCAGTGCTTGCTGACCCACTCTCCTGGCCAGTCAGCTGATATGTCTCCCTCCAGCCCTATTGGCTGCCCCCTGACCTTGACCATGATACTCCAGGTGATTTTCTCCAGCAGGGTGCCCAGATTTGGGGTAAGGCAATTGAGCACATTTTGCTCAGTCTAAACCTGGAGTATCAATTGCATTGCAAAGCTCAATATTCTGTCTGTTCCACAACATCTAGGATCAGAGCAGTGTTTTATAGGATGATAAATGACCCTTCTTCAGCTGAGCCCTGGAAGTGCATGCCTGACCGCAAAACCCTCCAATTGCAGTCCTCAAATGTACCACAGGATCTACTCTCCAACCAGAGTCACGAGCCAAGAGCACTCATTCCTTGGCCCAGCTTCAGCCTTTCCCGGTAGTTTTGATCCCAGATTCTGTCCCTGAGAGTTTTCTCTGCAGCATCCCTGTCTGACTTTGACGTACAAAGGTGTAATTGGAACAGCATGGATGATCCATTTACCTCATCCCTAGCATTTAAGTGCTTTAAAATATGTTTCTAATATCCTAGGTACAAGGAGCCAAATTCCCTTTTCTGTTTTTCACATGCATGAGTAAATCCACACAGATTAAACCCCTTGGGCCTGAGGTTCTGCTTAGAAGTTTTGTGTGTGTGTGTGTTTTTAAAGAAAACAAATATGCCATTAAAACGACATAGTGTACTCTGCATATTTTTAGGACAATTAGAGTTTAGATTCCCTCTTCTTCCGCCCATGGTAATAATGCTTTCCTTAACTATTTCCTTACCAAGAATGACATTAAGCTGGGATAGAAGAGCTTTCTTGTCTTTTAAATTGGTCTTCTCATCTTACATTGTCAAAGTACCAACTGATGGATGAAGATCCTTGAAGTGTTTTGGGAAGGATCCAGGCTCCCCTGTAACCTTCACCAGATAAATCCTTTAGGGAGACAGTTATTTGTGCACCTAATGGAAACATTTACTTGAAACAGAAAAGCCAAACTCACAGGACACCGAGGAACATAAAAGTAAGGATGTGCTGTATCCTTTGCTTGATTCAAAATGGGTCCCTGGCTTGGGTCATTTTTCTTTAGCACCTCTGGCTGTGCACATAAAGTAATAAAACCTGTGGGCCAGAGAGACAGCCGGACCAGGTGGGAAGAGCTTAGAACATCAGTCTTGGTGCAGAGGTGACTGGAAATAAAAGGAGGTGCCATCTAAATACCAGAGACTTTGTGCTCCAGTATTTTCCTAAGTGTGTGTTGCTGTTCATACAGGAACTCCCTGCTCATCAGTCTTGGCTGCTGTGGTCATATGTGGATAATATCTGCCAAGCCAACGTTCAAAGCAAACGTGTCCTTGAAACCAAATTTGGAGCAACATCTTTATAGCAGTTGCACGTTCAAGTTCAAAGGCCCCCACAGCCATCAAATTTAAAGAGAAATTGATGTAAGACTATCTGCAACTTGTTTTTCATTCATTGCAAAGCATGTCACAAGATGGAAACGCCTAGCCCTGTTCAGTCCATGATTCAGATAGAAATAAAATAGGTCTTCGTGGGAGTCTAACTTGGAAAATGACCGGGATCCAGAGACAGCTGGGAGAATGTGCCTGGGATGTCTTAGGAACTAGGAATTACGTTGCAGAATCAAAGAAAGAACTCAGAACTTCCTCAGAGAAATGTGTTTGTTTATTTAAATTAAAAAATATAGTGAAAATGACAAACTGTTAAATACAGAAGACAATTTTATACAACTTAATAGAATAAGAAGGAAGTATATACATCACTATTTTAATAGGCGCAGCTAGATTTGCACCAAACTTCAGGATGAAGCAATGGAAAATGTGACCACGCACATGTCCGTTGCAGTAAAGTTTCAGAATTCAAGTGATTCCAGGCAAGGGGCCAACTTAACTTGGCTTCTTTCACCTTAAACAGCCCCCTTTGGAGTAAATCCACATTCTGAATTTTAAAGTGAACAGAGGCCCCTTTCCCCTCCCCCCCCCCCCCCCAAACATAAATTTCCTCTAGCACTGTGTTAAGGCGAGCTGATAAACCAGCTCCTACACTGTTAACCCTTCCATGGGAACAGTAGTTATTGCTGTCTCCAACCCAGGGAGAGTATGTTTCTTTTAATTTAAAAAAAAAAAAGTTTTTTGTTTTTACTAGAATTAAATTTGACCTTTTGGTGTGTTTCTCTTCCTTCTCAGATTCAAGGGCCCAGAGGGTCTGCTGCAAAGCTATCGACCACAGGAATAGCCAGGGATGCCGGAAAGCATTCCTGAGTGTTTCCTTTTGGGTTTCTCGTTCCCTTCGCTGGAGGGTTAACATTCCAGCACCCAGAGAACTTTGCAGAGTAAAATGTGGCGTCTGCCTCTTTGGTTCACTGCTGGGAAAAAACGACAGCCTGGATGGGTGGGTGATTCGCCCTGAACTTCCCAGTTCCTTGTCTTCCTAGTCTCCAACTGCTCCTTTAAATAAGCAAATCCTTTTGCAGACTAACTGGCCAAGGGGCAAATATCTGGTCCAAGCTTCCTCACACCAGGCCAGGCAGGATTTATCACAGAGTCTTAAAATCTAAAGACATCCTCCCAGCCCCCTGGGGATGCCGATCATCAGGAGTCTCATGGTGACGTGCCCAGGACCACACAGCAAACCGGTGTCAGGGCTCGGGAGGTCAGGGAACAGAACGTGGGCCCCAGCTCTGTGTGCTTTCTGCCTGAGTATGCCCTTCCAGGTCTCGGCTACGTGACGAAAGGCCGTATCACCGAGGCCCACCTTACGTCCTCTCCCAGCTCAGAAAATTAGGCTGAGAATTGAGCAGCAGTAGAGCTAAGGGTTGGCTTCATTCAACCCCATCAGTACCCTTTCTGGAAAGATCAGGAAGAGTCCCCTTCACGGCCATTAGGAGTGCAGGTTAGAGTCTGGAGAGCCTTCCAACCAAAAAAACTTCATGCCAGCTGGATGGTCCCAGGTCAGAGTTCAGGGTTGTGGGTTACAGAAAGGGTCATGCCTTATAATCCCAGCCAATGTTAACAATTTTAAAGGTTGCCCCCTTTTTCCCCTTATGATATGCAAATGGGCCGAGGTCAGATCTCCAGCTTTCTCCCGTGGAAAGTCCTCCTTTAGATGTCACCCTCCCAACCCAAAAGGCCAGAAGCACTGTCCCTGGTGAATGAATGCCACAGGTACACCACAGAGGTACTTACAGCCAATCAGATCGAGAAGAACAAAGCTCTGGGCAAATCAAGAAATCAAAACTAGCGTCCCAGCATGTCCTGGGCATTTGGCAGTCCTGGGAGTGGGCAGAGGCTGCTGGAGTTGCCCAGGGCATCCAGTGAGAAAACACGAGCAAGCACATGGACCTGCCAGATTCTGGCCAGGACCCCGAGCCCCAGGCCCCAAGTAAATGTGCACACCGCACGCACGTCTTCAGGGCTTTGGCTGTGGCGGTTGGCACCACAGGCACGGCCGGGACTCCTGGCTGCCGCTGGCTCCGGCTGAGCCTGGGCCCCCACCATCCCCACTCAGGGGCCTGCCGAGGGTCTCTTCACAGAGGCAGCCTCACTGCAAAAGTGAAACCAGACACGAAAAGCGCCCTTCCTCTCTGCTGACAGGGCCACCTCCAGAAGCCCTGGGGGTGCTAGGAATTCTGATGGATGTTCTCCGAGGACCCCTCGCTGCTTTCGTTCAGGGGCGTCTCCGAGTTCTCCCCCAGCTCGTCGTCGGCCCCCTCCTCCTGGATGGTGAGGTGCACGTCGGGCGAGGAGGACTCGGAGCTCACGCTGTCCCCCTCCATGGAGCAGAGGGTGCAGGACAGCGCGGGCGCCACGCTCTCCTGCAGCATGTTCAGCATCACGGGCACCTGCACCGACCGCAGCCCCGACATCATGGGCAGCGGCTTCATGGCCTCGCCCCACAGCCTCTCCTCGTCTTTGTACAGCAGCAGGAGGCTGGCCTTCTTCTCCCGCCGCTTGGATTTCATGTAGCCCAGCATGATCCCGATCAAGAAAATGCCGTAGAAGGACATGACCACCAGGATGTAGAAGTATTCGTTCCCGTTGCCGCTGCCGCTGCCGCTGCTGGGGACATGGGACTCGAGGGGGGTGCCGGGGAGCGCGGTGCTGGGGTGCGTGCTGTTCAGAGGCTCCATCCTCAGCATTGACGCGCTGCTCGCTCGGCCAGGGTCTGGGGAGAAACCTGCAGGTTAACACTCTCCCACGGCAGGAGGAGGAGGCAGCAGAAGTTTGTGGGACTGCAGCATCGAAAAGCTTTGCATGCACGAAGGCGCAGCGGAAAGTAAGCGGTCCCACCTAACAGCTCGCAGGGGCCGGAGCCCATGGGGGAGAAGGCAGGGAGGTGGGGGGACATAAGAAGGACTTTCATTTTTTAGTCTCTCCGTGTCCATCCTATTTGCAATTCGTAGCGTGAGCGTCTAAAAAGCATCACTTTTACAATTTTACAAACCAAAGGTGGGGAAAAAATCAGTCTAAGACAAGGGAGCACAGACAAAATAACTAACATTGTAACCACTGGGAACGTTTTTTTTTAACTGAGCGGACAAGAGAAAGTTTACATTTTGCTCCTCTGACTTAAAACTATTTTTAATTCAAAACAAAGTTTCCTTAGGAACAAAACAAAAATAAAAGGAAAGGAAAACTTCACCTACTAACTGGTAGAAATAGCCTTTCAAATGTGTCTGCAGCGGCAGTAGCATCACTAACTTACCAAAGGCTGGCAAATTCGTCCAAAGTCCTGAATTGCTAAGTGGCCAAGTCCAAGAGCGTCCTCCTCTGCGGGCTAAGCCTCTGACAGCTCAGCTCCGCGGCTGCCCTGGGGATATATAATCAAGAAATGCATCGTCACGTGTTCCGGGAGGGAAATTTACAACAGAGGTTGGTCTGGCAGAGAGAACAGTGAACTCCAAGCCCTGCAGCTCAGCTCACTGTCTGTGCAGCTGTGAAGGGAGCCTGGAGCCAGCGGATGGCTCCTTGCTCCCAGCCCCGAGCCAGCGTGTTCAGGTGGCCACGAAAATGAGTCCAGAGAGGAGGGAAGAGTCTCCCCAAAGTCCACTCTCACTGACAATTAGCTCGTGTTTCAGCTCCCTCTCGGGAAAGAACCCCGTTACCATCTGCAGGCTTTCAGACACAAAGACCATCATCTGGATGAAAGGCAGTTGGAAGCAAGTGCAGGATTTCCTGTCAAGAAACTAGGGCTTAAGTCTCTGTTCTTCCAGTAACTAAGCAAATTTTTTAAATCTTCACTGAACCTTCCCGCACCTCCCATTCCTGGTGTGTAGAATGGTTGGACCTCGGGGGGCTTCAACACACAGAATCGTGTGGCCTGGCAGCTTAACCATGCTGAGGTTTAAGGCTGGCTGGTGCAGGTTACCCCTTCAAAACCACAGAGAGCTTCTACCTGTCTTCCGCAGCAAGCTAGTTAATCTATTTTTTATAAGTTTATATATATGATGAGATTCTTTTCAATAGTCTGTGTGAAGTGGAAGCGGGTCACTGTGAAGAGACTGGTAGGATTCACTCCAGCTCTGCGGGCACAGCTGCTCTTGGCTGCCTCACACCGAGACCATTCACACATCTCTCTGCCTCTCCCACAGGTCACAGGAGGAGCAGGCATCCGTCTGGTAGGAACTGAGCACAGTTTGAGCTTTGAAAACCTCTGTAGACCTGTGTGGAAAGGACCGCTGCGATCAAAATTGGAAAAGGAATTGAAGACTTTGATGTCAGTCCACCTGCTTCCCGGGATGTTTATTCGGAGAGCCTCTCATTCAAGTTGAAGTAAACTGAGAGAATGGCTCTGCCCCAGTTGCCCGTGGCCCATAAACTGCAGTCAGACGGTCTTGGGGAATCGGTTCTAGAAAAAGCTTCTCTCGTGGTTCAGCCGCTGTTACTTGAAACTGAGTGGGAGCCTGGGATTTCCGGTGCTGCTATCTGAGCCCGCCTGGGTCAGCCCCTGGCCCGAAGGTTTTAGGGCACCTGTGCCAAGAGCGGGATGGTGAGCGCATGCTGCTGAGGTCCCCACTGGTCCACTCGCCTATGGTTCGGGCTGTGCTCACCCTCAAATCCCCAGCTGACTCTGAGGTATCAACTGCTGACAACCCAACACTGAGACCATCCACACACTGCAACATTGCTCGTCAATAAAGACATCCTCACAGTTACATTAATATTTTTAAAATTCCACAGCTACCTTGGCTAAGGTAGACATGACCTTTCCAATCTGTAGTCATCTTAAGTATCTGAGGACCTCCAGCTTCAGCTATGCATACAGTGGTTTGTCAAGGACAGCGGAAAAGAGAGACCTGTGAGCAGGATGCCTACTGATCCCAATATTGTTGATTGTGTACCAGGGGACATAGGAGATTCATAATCGCCCAGGGATGATCAAACACTGCAAATGGAAGCCTAGGGCAAGCAGAGAGAGGAGGTGGGGGGAGGGGTTACCAGAATTAAGGAGCAAGGAAGTGCAAAGCGTGGTGCCAGGAAGCCAAACAGAGGCTGAATTTTCAAAGATAAAGCCCCTGAATTGAGCCAACAGTCCCAAGACAGTGAAACCAAAACAAGACATGGATGAATCCAGCATGAACTCCACAGGACAAAGCACTTCAGAGACCTGGGAAGAACAAAATCCATTGCAGGTATCAGGGAAGGAACGGCCCAAATGAAACTCGCTGGCGGCCTGGATGGTGACCCTGCTTCCTCCCGGACTCCATGCTGGCTCACCGACAGTTCAATGAAATGATGCAAGCGCAGCACTTAGGGCCATATCTTGCCGTATGTGTATGTTCATCTGTGCTTTTTGTTGTCACTGTTGAGAGTGTCCTGTTGCTACCAAGGGCTTCAGGTTGCTTCCTGGTGGGCATGTGCCTGTGTCCAGATTTTTCATTGTTGTTCTTTTTTCTTTTGCCAAGAATGGAATTGAAGGTGTGGGGCTTGAAATGTCATAACGCATACCCCAATCTTCTCTCCAGCCCTCACTCATAACAGTATCATGAGAAGTATGGTAGGGAACAGTGGCCTAAATAGTGAGTGAGGAGGATGAGGGCACACAAGAATTATTAATTACATCTCTGTACCACAGTTTCAGGAGACATCAGTGTTAAAGAAATAGATGCAGTGAAATAAGCCAGTCAATGAAAGAAAAATACCACATGATCTCACTCATTTATGGATAATAAAGACCATTATAAACTGATGAACAAAAATAGATACAGAGGCAGAGCAGCATCGAACAGACTGTCAAACTACAGCGGGAAGCCCGGGGAGGGTTGGGGCCGGGGCGGGGGAGGGGGGTAAGAGATCAACCGAAGGACTTGTATGCAGGCATATAAGCATAACCAATGGACACAAGACACTGGGGGGTAGGGGAGGCCGGGGGAATGTCAAGGGGGGGAATAAGGAGACATATGTAATACTCTTTGTAATACTTTAAGCAATTGTTCCAGCACCTTTTGTTGAAAAGACTGTCCTTGTCTCATTGAATAATCTTGGAATATTTGCAAAATCAATTAACCACATATGTGCAGTTCTATTTCTGAGCTTGTTATTCGGTTCTGTGGACGTATCTGTCTATCTTTGCATCAGGGTCAGGCTTTTGAAAAGTCCATCTTGGGCTGGCATTTTAAGGAAGTCTATGATATGCTATAGTCCAGACCTAACTGGGTGTCTATTATGTAGCAAGAGGCTTTGCTTACTTCAGTATTGCGAGGTCAATATTATAACCATTCTATAGATAAAGAAACTGAAGGCCAAAGAGGCTAAGCAAATTGCTCAAAGCCAGGCTGTTTGTAGTAGAGTAAGGACTTGAACTCAGGTCTATATAATTCCAGGCTCATTCTCTTTCCACCACCTTTTGTCCCACTCAGTGGGAACCAGCGAACTGGGAAGGAATAGGAAATAAAAGATGAGTATTTTTCCAACTTCCTTTGAGTCTTCACAAAACTATTTTTTTAAGTACATTCCTAAATGGCCAGTTACTCAAACATAAATGCAAATATGCAATTACAAATTGTTTCTTCTGAATTCATGCTATCTTAAATATTGGAGGCTGCACCAACCTTAGTATGTTCTAGAAGGTATCAGTGAAGTAGTAATACTTTTGTCCTATATTCATACTTTTCATAGTAAATCAATTCCCTTTTGTTTATATACACAGCTGATTTCTGGTCCTGTTTTGATTTTATTTTTTCCCTTACTTAATCCTGTTTTGATTTTATTTTTTTCCCCTACTTAATCCTGACGCACAACTTTCTCCAGGACTTTGAGTGTTTTAGTTTCCTGGTAATGTCATTTTCGCCAGATGACCCGGATTCCCTGGCCACACATTTCTGAAATTATGTTAGCAGCTTCTGTGACTAAACAAAATCCGTGCTGGGATAACAGCACACTGGCGAATCTCATCAGATTAAACATGAATCTAGAGTCCGCAGATCTGACCCAGCTACGTGACTGACTGAGTTGCATAATCTCTCTATGTTTCAGGCATGTCAAGAGTAGGATAATTAATTGTCTCAAGATACTCAGAATGTCCCATAATCCACGAGGTCACCCCTTCCCTGCAGAGATAGCAAGGAACAGAGCAAAACAAGACGTGGGAGAGCCAGGCTGCAGGGCTGGCAGAGGGTGTGAAATGTGCCCTCGATGCCCACCCCTGGCTTTGTTTTTCCCAGATACCCTTTCTGAAAAGTCGTGTCTGGGGACTCTTGCTGTGCTCATCCCTTCTGATAACCTGAGTCACTCTTCCTCGACTCATGCTTGCTAGCATTCCTAGCACTTGGACTAAAACAGGACTATGTATTTTACACTGTGTTACAAGACCCGCAGACCCTCCTATGCCACTGGCCATGTGGCTGTAGGCAGGTTCTGCTTGGGCATCATCCAAAACTGACTGGACTGGAAGGACCCAGAACTCCCGATATTTAAAGTGCCTGGTAAAGTTGCCGTTAACTGACCTTTGTTATTTACTATTCAAACATGTTTTTCCACCTGATATTTATTTAACAAATACTTCCGTGATGCCTAAAGTGTCTCGGGAACTGTTCAAAACACTTTATAAATTTTATCTGATTTAATCTTTCTAAAAATCCTATGAGGTAGCCTGTATTATCATCCCTATTATGCAGATAAGGAAACTGAGGTACAGAATGCTTGGAATATCCCGCCTTAGATCACACAGCTAGTACATGGCTGAGCTGGCATCATCTGGGATTTTGATCCCAGAGTGTTTGTATCTAAGTACTACAGCATGTGGTCTCTTCTAAGTATGAAATGTTTCTACACTGAATTATAATAGGGAGAAAGAGAGAGGGAGAGAGAGAGAGAGAGAGACTACGTGACCCCTGCAGCCTGCAACCTGCTGGACATAGAGGACTGAAGTCATAACCACACCTGGAAAAATATGAAGGGTGAGAGACTGGGTCCAGCCCCAGCTCTCAAGAGAGGTTGCTGAGTTAGGGAAGCCCATGCTCCCAGAGTTTGTCAGAAGAAAGTTTATTATTTATTACCCTGCTCTTGACATTGAAGTGTTTGTTTCCAATAGGCCAGAAGTAGGCCACACAGGAGGGGAGGAGCACACAGCCCTGGGATACAGGGTAGTTCTCTTCCAGGATGGCGTCTAGGGCTGAGCGAGGAGTGCTTTCCCCACAACCAAAGGAAGTCATGGCCCTGCCACCAATGGCTTCCAGTCTGCCCAAGGTCCAAGGGAGGTGGGGGCAAATGAAGGGGGAAGGGAGTGTGGCAAAAGCAGCTTCAACTCTAAATGAACTTGAGACGCTTTGACCATCACGTTGGAACGGACATTTCAATTGCTGAACCTGGGCTGTTTGGGGATACTAGAGCAGCCGTGGGATTTTTATCTCCTAAGAGTGACCAGAAAAGTCGTGGGATCTGCCATAAGATATCCACCACAGAGCAGGGGAGGAACCGGCCCTAGAGAATGAGTGTAAAGAAGTAGTGGGACTCGTTGTGAATGTTTGCTTTATGGTGACACCCTGCAAGTTCTGCGAATGTATTATAAGATTACATGGGCAAAGTGCTGGAACAGTACCTAGAATTAGCAAGTGTTCATTTATCTTAAATATTAAACAACATTAATGCAAAAAGATAATATTCGGGGAGCTCCATGGCATTGCCTATCTAAAACTTGAGTTAGGGAACCGTAAGTGGTGGTGCACTGATTTGTTCCCGGTGCCTAGAATGGTTTCTGGCCCCCAGGGGACCTTTGAGAAATATTTGTTGAATGAATAACAGAAAGAATGCGCAATGTTCTTCACAGACTTTCTTATTTAATCTTTTCAACTGTCGAATGAGAGCTATGAGCAGAATTTTATAAATGTGGAGATTAGGGACTGAGTGAATAACTCATCCTGCTCACACAGCAGGACAGAGCCGACCAGGACCAATTTTCCTGGCTCCTACTGAAACCTCGCCAGACACGTATTCCATTCCTGAGATGCACACTTCTCAAAGCTGGTCCCTTCCTCTGCTCCCTGCTATCCAAGGGGTCAGGACCAGCTTTGGAACCTCAAGGGGAAAGGATGCTAAGGAAGGACAAAGCTGACTCTCTTTTTTAAAAAAAAGTTATGAAGCCCTTAAAAGGTTTTCTTAAACCTTCTAAGTACCAAGTTACCAGTTTAGGACACAGAACCCAATAAGAACAAGAGATGGACAGTAGTTAATAGTATGGTTGTGTGTATCTGAAAGCTACTGAGGATACATCTTAAGCATTCTCAGCACAAAAGACTGCTAGCTTGGTTAACTGTGTGAGGTGGGGTGTGCTTGCTATTTTGCTCCTGATAATCACTCTACAATGTACATGTATACCAAGTCATCGTGTCGTATGCTTTAAATATATACAATTGTATCTGTCAATTATTCCTCAATGAAGTGTAAAAAACTAAGAGGCAGAGCTAGAGTCTAAAGCACAGAGCATACCAGGGCCAACAGGCCATGAAGAGTGTATTTTGCCACATTGTATAAGCATGCAGGGTCAGGCCAGCTGAGCAGGAAGGTGGGCAGCTCATAAGGATAGCTTGCCCATTGACATCATTCAGGCAGGATTGGCCTAGAGCATCAGTCACAACTGGGACCCAAAGATACCAAAGCCAGCTCTTCATGCAAATAGCGGAATGCCTCATCCCACAAGTAGCCAAGGACAAAGAAAGCCGTGACCCTGGAAGGTTGAATCTAACTTATGCCAGAACCACAATGTTTTAAATTTTATGCCTTTGTAGTAAATTTTGAAATCAGGAAGTGTGACTTTTTTTTTAAAATTGAGGGAAGGCAAGGGGGGGCGGGGGAGGGAGGTGGTTAGGGAGAGGGGACAAGATTAACCAAAGAATTTATATGCATAAACTCTGGACACAGACAAAGTGTGGTGAAGGCCTGGGGTAGTGGGGAGTGTGGGCTGAAGGGTCAGTGGGGGATGGGGGACATCTGTAATACTTTCAACAATAAAAATAAATTTTAAAAACAAATAAATAAATTTTAAAAATAAATAAAATTGTTTTTTGACTATTCTGGATTCCTTGTAATTTCATATAGGTTTAGGATCAGCTTGTCTATTTCTGGAAAAGAAAAGTTAAAATTGTGATAGGATTGTATTGGATCTGTCAATCAATTTGGGGAGTGTTGCAAACTTAATAATATCAAGTCTTCCAATCCATTAACACAGGATGACTTTTCATTTATTTAGATCTTCTTTGATTTCTTACTACTACTTTTTGTAGTTTTCAGTGTACAAGCCTTATACTTTATTTGGGAAATTTACTAGTGCTATTCAGTATTTTATCATTTTTGATGTCATGGTAAATGAAATTGCTTTTCTCATTCTATTTTCAGATTGTTCATTGCTAATGTGTAGAAATGCAATTGATTTTATATATTATTCTTGTATCTTGCAACCATGTTAAATTTATTAGTTCTAACAGGTGTTTTTTTGTGTGTGAATCCTTAAAATTTTCCATACATAAGGTTATGTCAAATAAAGATATATTTATTTCTTCCTTTTCAATCTGGGTGATTTTAATTTTCTTTGTCTAAATGTTTATTTTATGACTTTTCTACACTAATTCTGCATCACCTGTATTCTTTGTCACATGTGGCCACTGAGGTCTCTTCTCAGTTTGGTAATTAGCTAATGACTGGACAGAGGTTTCTTTTACTTAAACCAGTGGTTCTCAACCTGTGGGTCGCGACCCCTTTGGGGGTGGAACGACCCTCTCCACAGGGGTCG